TATATATATAAATTGCTTTCTAATATATATATATATATATATATATATATATATATATATATATATATATATTCACACACACACTAGCAAATATACAAATAAATAAATTGTATTATAAAATTTATATAAAATGAATATTTTACCAGATTTATTTTCCCCCTCTATTTTAACTATTTTATATAAACTAAAGTATATAGTACATAAATACACCCGTTAATTAAACAGGTTGTACTCCATTGCGATGTTTATATGTACTTTTCTATTTGACTGTAACTTTTCCACTACAATTTTAGACTTCCGACAAATGAGATGTACAGTATTTATGTCAACACTCAATGCTCTTCAACATGTACACAATATGCCAAAGGTCTGCCCACCTCCTGGCACACACGGTATTGGTCGATGGCCCAGACAGTTGGCACGTGGGTGGCAAGCAGCTGGTACTGAGTAAGGGTGGCATTGCAGGCACGGGCACAGATCAGTCGGGTCTTGCCCACCGCATTATCACCCACGACCACACACTTTATGGTCTCCACATTAGGTCGCTCATAATCTGTGTCTATATCCATGGAGAGGGCCCTGAAAGACAGAGAAAGAGAGAGGCAGTTTAAGTGCTGCTAATCATCATTGTACTGATGAAAAAGATGACAAAACTAAAATTTCCATTTATATTTAACTTACAATGAATCAAAAATAAAAATAACAAGAGTTACAAAAACAATAATAAAACATTCAATTCAGTCCATTCACTGTGGTGACTCAAATCAACATCCACAATAATGAATGGCGTCACCAATACTGACTACTCATTCAGCAAATGTTCAAAGTTTAAACAAAATCTGGGTCAGGTGCTATTTCTGTCTGAGGAAGGAACAACAAAGACAGCCAACACAGTTCTGCACTTGGCTATAGAGGGTTTCAAAGTGTGCGAGTTTCAAAGTAGACGTGAACAAGTGCATCTAGCACCTTTTTTTTTTTTTTTTAAGTCTTAGAAGAATCCACCTAAATCTAACAAAGCCCAGTGGTAAATGTTGATTTGTATGAGAGAACACAGCTAAGCCAAACAGCATTAAAATGCACATTTTGTCCAGGATACTGTTGTTCTAGATGTCCAGGATACTGAAACAAACATTGTTAATACAAACACTCACATAAACATTGACTTAAACCTCCTACTAGGTATCAAGATTGCAGCTCTCTGCAGTGAAAAGAAGAAAAAAAACGACTCTGCTGAGGGATGCAGCTGAAACAAACCATTAGGAGACCTGCGTGCCAACACATATGACTGTAACTTAATATCCATGACAACTAGCAAGTTCTCTTTTAGGTTCAAACAAAAGCAAGCAATGTGAGATCGTTTTTTTCCCCTAAAACAATGACAGATTTTTGTTTTGTAATGAATGCAGACATTTGTTCAATAAGCTGCCTTGCTTCAGATAGTTGCATAAATTTGAGCATGCGCCTATAGCTGTAAAAAATTTATTAATATTAATACAAACCCGATTCCAAAAAAATTGGGTTCAACTGTCTTAGGTCTTCTTTGTTGCATCTTCCTCTTTATGATGTGCCAAATGTTTTCTATGGGTGAAAGATCTAGACTGTAGGCTGGCCATTTCAGTACCCGGATCTGAGAGACACTGCTACTCTGAGAGGCTCTTTTTATACCCAATCATGTTGCCAGTTGACCTAATAAGTTGCAAATTGGTCTTCCAGCTGTTCCTTATATGTACATTTAATTTTTCCGGCCTCTTATTGCTACCTGTCCCAACTTTTTTGGAATGTGTAGCTCTCATGAAATCCAAAATGAGCCAATATTTGGCATGACATTTCAAAATGTCTCACTTTCAACATTTGATATGTTATCTATATTCTATTGTGAATAAAATATAAGTTTATGAGATTTGTAAATTATTCCATTCCTTTTTTACTCACAATTTGTACAGTGTCCCAACTTTTTTGGAATTGGGTTTGTACACCACTATAATAAAAGAGGCAATATAAAATTAAATACAAATGATTTTGGGAAACGTAACTCTTGGTCAACTAAGAGCAGTGCATTATTTTGACACAACTAAAGTGATACAGCTATCTACATTACAAGCCGCCCTGAGCTCCGCTGTCCAAGTCAGCTAACGTTCCATAAAAAGAGCTCATGAAAGATTAATACGGCCACTGTTTATTGTTCCACTGACAAAGACGTCACAGTTCTGGACCCCAATGACATGCTGGGGTCTAAAAATGATTATCATTCATTCAATTCATTCTGAGTAGCAAGGTGCCAATTCTGACCATGATTAGCAAACTTAAAAAACGGCCCATAATAGGTCAAGAGACGTTTAATCTAGAGCAGCGGTGCTCAGTTAATTCCTCATGAGGGGAATGTTACAGCTAGCTTTGAGATTTTGGATCAGTGAAGAAGGTTTCAGAGAACTGTTGTCAGTGGGGGTGCTCTGAAGGAAGCTTCTTTCACAGGTTACACAACAACGACGGCACAACAGGCTGATGAAGCTGAGCTGTAAATGTTACATCTTTGTGTTATCTAACAATAATCTTTATAACTGTTCTGTGAGAGTCACCAACATGTAGAGAGGATGTTATAAAGTTGAAGATTGTTATGACTGCATATTAAAAATGCTAAAAATATTAAAAACAAATTAGCTGGGAGACCATAACCTAATTTTCAAACAAACAGACTTGAGAATGTTTTCTCACCGTGCAAAATGTAGGGTAGTGGGTACAAAGGTGAGAGCGCAGGCTTGTGCACTTTAAGGAATCAACCAAAATATTTCCACTATTAAGCTCTATTTGAATATGTTTAATGGAATCATTCGATGCCCATTTTCCACAAGTTGATATGATTCTTTAGGGTCTTAATGAAAAGTCTGTAATATAGTTTGGTTAAAATTTCTCAATGGTAGAGTACTGGAGACCTTTTTTACCCTGTCAAAAACAGCTCTTTTCAGAGCAAGCTGTTTTGTAGCATTTTCCTTTAAATGTTAATGAGCTATGCTGACCCCGCCCCTGCTCTCTGAGGAACTGTTTACTTTAGCCGCATTCATCGTGAAACTTGCTAATCAGCACATTATTAGTAAAGGTGATTTGCAAAGATTCATTAAAAAACCTTATACTCACTTCTTCTGTAGGTGAAGCTGGATCACGAATGATTTGCGCAAACATAGACACATTTACGTAGATCGGTGGTGCATTCCTTCAAAAACAAAAGTAATCCACTGCGAGTTCAGTGGCTCAGATGTCGGGAGTAAATGACGACTGCTATGTTCACTATTACATCCAACAACAGAACACCTCAATCAATTAGGAGTCATTCTTGCCTACATCTGCTCTGTAATATAGTTTGGTTAAAATTTCTCAATGGTAGAGTACTGGAGACCTTTTTTACCCTGTCAAAAACAGCTCTTTTCAGAGCAAGCTGTTTTGTAGCATTTTCCTTTAAATGTTAATGAGCTATGCTGACCCCGCCCCTGCTCTCTGAGGAACTGTTTACTTTAGCCGCATTCATCGTGAAACTTGCTAATCAGCACATTATTAGTAAAGGTGATTTGCAAAGATTCATTAAAAAACCTTATACTCACTTCTTCTGTAGGTGAAGCTGGATCACGAATGATTTGCGCAAACATAGACACATTTACGTAGATCGGTGGTGCATTCCTTCAAAAACAAAAGTAATCCACTGCGAGTTCAGTGGCTCAGATGTCGGGAGTAAATGACGACTGCTATGTTCACTATTACATCCAACAACAGAACACCTCAATCAATTAGGAGTCATTCTTGCCTACATCTGCTCCGGCGGTGAAACAATGGCGGACTGATGACAGCTCACTCAGGGCCGGTCTGAGGTAAGACACCAGTGATGAAACGATACTGTCAATCAAACTATCGTGGGAGGGGCTTGTTTTTGTGACGTCACACAGACAGGCAACTGAGATTGGCTCGATTTGAGAAATGGGTAAAAATGTTAGTAGATTAAAAATAAAAACACTGGGTGGATTTTTTTCATTATAGGGTGGTGGTGTACACACACTGCCAACACACATTTCAGTTCAAACAACTTGTAAAAGCAGTGTTTCCCCTGCCATTATTTTAGCGGCACCCCCCCGCCCCCCTTGAAGGGCAAGTTAATTTTATATAATTATATTTTCTCTATAGCGCCAGATCACAACAGAAGTAATTTAAAGTTACCTTTCTTACAGAATATGTCTATACCTTGTTCTTTCATTAAGCAAACTAAATAGCCTTATGTTGCGGGGCTAAGGTAAGACACCAGTCCAGTCTGTGCTGAAACGCTACTGTCAATCAAACTATCGTGGGAGGGGCTTGTTTTTGTGACGTCACACAGACAGGCAACTGAGATTGGCTCGATTTGAGAAATGGGTAAAAATGTTAGTAGATTAAAAATAAAAACACTGGGTGGATTTTTTTCATTATAGGGTGGTGGTGTACACACACTGCCAACACACATTTCAGTTCAAACAACTTGTAAAAGCAGTGTTTCCCCTGCCATTATTTTAGCGGCACCCCCCCGCCCCCCTTGAAGGGCAAGTTAATTTTATATAATTATATTTTCTCTATAGCGCCAGATCACAACAGAAGTAATTTAAAGTTACCTTTCTTACAGAATATGTCTATACCTTGTTCTTTCATTAAGCAAACTAAATAGCCTTATGTTATATCTTATTTACACGACGGCATGTCATTTCAGTCTCTACGTTATGGTCGCGCTCTCTGTATCACACACAGCGGAGTTCCGCCCGATGCACACACACACAAGTGAGCACACTCCCACTAGTATTTGTAAATATTAAGCCGCAAAACGATTCATATTTAAATATGAATTCTGCGTGTTTCTGTGTTAATGAATGACGCAGACGCGTGGTTTTGTGTAGTACTCGTACTGAAACGCTCGTGACGCTTCCAGTGATAGTAACCTCTGCCGTCTCACTAATGAGGACATAAATACACGAACAACATCTCCAGAACTGCTCTGAGATTCACTTCATGAGCATTTGACCGTTTCATTTGAGTAAAACTATCATCATGTCATACACACACAGAAATGTAAAGGTATTCATGGCAACCCGTCAAAATAAAAGTTCGGTTTAACTTGAGGGCATTGGCAGAAATAGATTACTATTTTTGAGTAGAATGTACGTAACAGACTGCTACTACTACTACTAAAATTATTAAAACCTTATTTTTAAGGAATAAGCATTCAGTATTTCTTCAATGTTTTAATTGTAATATTAAATTACCTTTATTTTCCAAAAAATGTAATTTGTTTAATTTATTACTTACACAACATAGAATTTCTGAGCAAAAAAAAATCATAAGGCTATTGTAAGATTAAATTTATGCTTTCAAATTAGACATGCTAAAACAGAATTTGGTTACAATAAAACATAAGGTTGGACAAATAAAACATTTCATAGGGCCCTAAACGTAATATTTACCCAAAAGCCGTAAACCTAGGGGAAACACTGAAAAGTGCATGTAGCATCCAATGACCCCTTTAAAAAAGCTATATTATAAATTCCTATACATGGGGGAAATAAAATTCAATG